TTTTAAACTGTATTTTCTAATTATAATTCAATGAAGTTTTTATTCTCTGAAGATCATTTTTTAAAAATCAAAGTCTTAAGTAAATCTTGAATTGTTCTGATTTTTGTTGTTTTATTTTTTGACACAGAGTCTTGCAGTGTCGCCTGGGCTGGAGTGCAATGGTGTGATCTTGGCTCACTGCAACCTCCGCCTCCCAGGTTCTTGCAATTCTGCCCCAGCCTCCTGAGTAGCTGAGATTACAGGCACACACCACCACACCAAGCCAGTGCTTTGTATTTTGAGTAGAGATGGGGTTTCACTATGTCGGCAACACTGGTCTGGAACTTCTGACCTCACAATCCCCCCTCCTCGGCCTCCCAAAATGCTAGGATTACAGGCATGAGCCACAAAGCCTGGCCTGAGTGGTTCTAATTTATTTGTGTTGGTTCTCAACTCTCTTTTGGACTTAATTGAGCTTCTTTAAAATAAACATTTTGAATCACTTAGCTGAGATTTCAAATACATCATGTCGTTTAGATTCTATTGCTGGAGAGCTAAGGTGATATCCGGGGTCCTGTAATTCTGCTTTTTCATACTTCCAGAATTGCTTATCTGTTTGCTTTTCATTGGCTAAACTATCCGTTACTATTTTTGAATTCATTTTGATTTTAATGAAAATTTCATTCCCTTTAGAATGTGAATATCATGCATATTGGATGGGTCTTTTTATGTAGTTCCTGCTTTACTCAGTGGCAAAGGCTCTGTAATTGTTTCTTGTCTATAGATGGTCATTATTTAGTGGCTTTCTGAAATGATGGTTGTAAAACAATGTACTGGGCCTGTGAGCAGGCTCACTGCCTCCTGCAGGTCCTGGATAGTGGAGGCCTCAGGAACTGTTTCTCATTTGGGATGCATTTGTTTCAGCAGATTTCATATTTGGTTGTTAAGTTTACCCTTCACGTTAGTAGGTGGCCTTACAGATTTGAGCTGACTGCGGCAGAAGCAGATGAGTACATGCTCGATATCTGTGCCCAGGGAGAAGCTCTCCGTTGCCTCAGGCAATGGGTTGGTCTATGAAATGCACAGTGACCTGAGTTCTCTGCTGAGCTCCTGAGAGGGGGACAAACATGAACCACTCAGCCTGGCAAGCAAAAGCACCAGCCTTGATGGAAATGGCCAGGTGAGGGGCATCGACTCAGTGTGATTTATTTTGTTATTAATAGTTTTAATGTTGTGCCTTTTCCAAAGTCCAGCTTTAGTAGTAACATACTGAGCATGTGAGCAGACCCATGGTCTTTTGCGGAGCTGGAATCACAGAAGTATTGAGAAGCTAATCTCATTTTCACCTGCTGTACACTGGTGGTAGCGGCTTTGTGTTAGGTCATGCAGTTTGAACACCAGGCCAGTAGGTGGCGCGTGCAGGTAAGAGCCGGCTGTGGGGGCTGCAGAAGGGTTTACGCTTTACCAGTGGTTAAAGTGGGAAATTTGTCACGTTCCAGATCTTAGAGAAAAGACTTTTAGTTATTTCTCATTCATTATAATA